TTTGTTGCTGGAATAATTACATGGGGCCAAGTTAACCCAGCCAGAGAACAAATGTCCCCTTCCTGATGGGGCTCCCGCACAGGGCTGAAGGGGTGCCACAGGCAGCAATTCCCCACCCACACACGTCGGATATGACAAGAAAGTCTCCTGTGTGGGGCCCATAAACTAAGTAAAAACCCGGGCAGCCCAGGCCAGATCTCCACAGGAGGTGCAAGGGATTAGGTACGGAGAGACCTTGGTCCCAGTGGGGTGAGTGATAGCGAGGCCAGCCGCCTGTGGAGGGGTGGCCTGGGGGGCCCGTGTAGTAATAGGAAAGAACCTGAGATTACTTGACAAACTATGAATGCAACAATAAATATAGTTACAGAGAGACATCACAGTGTTCTCAATGTATCTAATGTAGTTATCAGTTAAGGCACGATGCCAAGTTCTTGGGTACTTGAAGAATAGCCTCTTTGTGGGTCTTGATATAAGTTTGATAAGCATTAGATTTCCACCTTCTGAGGACTTTGATAAGCCAGTCAGGAAGTCCAACTGCTCCCGCTGTTGTGGCTGTGCCAATACGAAAGCTGTGTGAAGCGAAGTTTGCACTGTCCAGGCCACAGGATGTGGAGTAGGGTACGCAGGTTGTTGGTAAGTGATGCACGGGTAAGGTTGCGCCCATCGGTGAATTTGAAGAGAGGCTGGGAGGTACTCTGTCCGTATGTTTGAAGAAGACAGTCTTGAAGGGCGGTGACCACACAGACGTTAGAGTTTGACCTAGCTATAGTGAGTTTGGCTCTCTCACGGAAGGAGTCAGTTTTGGACTTCTTAATAGTAATTTCAAGGAAATTTGGATTGAAAATATTAGGGTTAAAAATGATATCTGATCTGGATAAGTGAGTACGGGGATCAAACTTGCCGTTGCAAGTGAATTCACTGCTTCTTAGAAAACCGAAAAATGCTAGGGTAAAAGCAGCCCATAACATGGAAGAGTCGACAGCCTGGGAGTGAAAGGGTTGTAGCTTAGAGTAGATTTGTTGGAGAACTGTAATAGTGATGGGGTAGTGTGCCTGTTTAGAAACACCCTGAAAACATTTTATGCCTTGTAAAGTTTCATAAAGGAGGGGCATGGAGGTGAAGTCCAGCGGAAAACCAAACTCAGTATGCAGGTTTTTTACTGCTGCCAGGTAAAGTTTTATAGTGCCATAAGAAACTGTATTGGAAAGGTGGGTAACGAAGTGAATTAAGGTAGCCTCACTGCTGGGTAATAAAGGGGTATCGGGGGAAACGAGCCCATGGTGTAAGCAGAAGCGAATAAATTGGCGTTCACCAGAGGAATAGGCACGGTGGGTGGTCACTGCAACAGAGGAGTAGATGAAACTGGCCCCCTGCAGAGTCAAACTTTGGTCAGGAAATGGGGGATCTGGCAAGAAACAGGCGATGCATCCAGTGCAAGAAGGCGGAAACAGGCCATCTGGAAGTGAGAGAGACTGTCAGAGTTACCTCACCACATTCAACTCCCCTTTCGGTAGATACAGATTCAACTGCATGCCCTTTGGCCTAAAAATGTCACAAGACATCTTTCAGACCAAAATTGACCAAACATTTGAAGGATGTGAAGGAGTGGCAGGAATTGCAGACAACATCGTGGTTTCTGGAAAAACCAGCGAGGAACATGACTGCAACATGCATGGTATGCTAAAACAATGCCAAGATACAGGCCTGAAACTGAACCCAGATAAATGCTTTGTGAAGCAGGAGAAAATCAGATTTTATGATGTTGTCTGTAGCCAAGATGGAATCCAGCCAGATCCAAACAAAATCTCAGCCCCAACTAACCGCCAAGAACTACAGACCTTCTTAGGTCTGGCGAACTACATGGGTCCCTTCATCCCAAATCTAAGCACACTAACAGCCCCACTTCGAGAGCTCCTAAAGGAAAGCCACCAATTTGACTGGAGCCCAGCACACCAAGAAGCCTACAACAAAGTCAAGGACTCCATCAGTAGTGAAGTTACTCTAACCTATTTTGATCCAAAGAAGGAGATCACCTTACAAGTTGATGCTTCGCTGAAAGGCCTGGGCCCAGCACTCTTACAAGACAATAAGCCTGTTGCTGTTGCGAGCAAAGCACTCACTGATGTCGAAACAAGATACGCAAACATTGATTGAGAACTACTCACTGTAGTGTATGGGTGTGAGAAGTTTCACACTTACCTGTTTGGTCACAATTTCACTGTCAACACTGACCACAAGCCTCGAAAGTATTCACCTGAAACACTTGACAGTCGCACCCCTGTGTCTTCAGAGGATGCTACTGAGACTGCAGCCATATGACCTTGTCATTCGCTACCAACCAGGCAAGAGCATCGAAATCACGCATGCACTCTCCAGGTTATCACCACAAGAAAACGAGGCCATCCCTGGGATGAATGTCCAAGTGCATGACATCCACCCTCAATTCAGTAACAGCATTCTGCAAAGAATTACAGAACAAACTGCATCAGACCCAGAGCTCACCGCTCTGAAGGAAATGATCCATTCTGGTTGGCCATTGACCATCCAGCAAGTCCCAGTGCCCTTAAAGCCTTATTGGCCCTTTCGCGATGAGCTTGCTGTAGATGATGGGATAGCCATGAAAAGTCACCGCATCATTATCCCCACCATACTACAGAGGGAAATCTTGACAAAGCTCCATGCAGCACACCAAGGAACTGAGAAGACAAAGCTCAGGGCTAGGTCGTCAGTATACTGGAGAGGGCTAAACAAAGACATAGATGAGATGACCAAGACATGTAGCACTTGCCAGGAGCTACACCCGAGCCAGCAAAGAGAGCCCCTGATCCCCACAGAGGTGCCACCAAGGGCATGGCATACTATTGGCACAGACCTCTTTACCTTAGAGGGTTCAGAGTACCTAGTAGTCACTGATTACTACTTGAAGTATCCATTCGTTAGGCAGATACCAAGAGGACAAAGCAACAGCCACACAGTAGTCAAAATGCTGAGACAGACTTTCAGCAAGCAAGGAATTCCCAAGGTAGTAAGATCTGATAATGGGCCCCACTACAGTGGTCAAGCATTCCAAGAATTTGCAAGAGAACTGGGTTTCCAGCATGTGACAAGTTCCCCACACTATCCACGCAGCAATGGTTTTATTGAAAGCCGAGTAAAATCAGTTAAAGCTGCTCTTCTCAAAGCGAAAACCACCCACAGGGACCCTGACATGGCCCTCCTGTGCCTGAGAACCACACCCACTGATCACAAACTGCCATCACCTGCTGAACTACTTCTCGGTCGAGCAATCCAGGACAACCTCCCAAGGAAAATCCCCAGAGATGCCTTAAGGTGGCTCCCTATAGTTTTACGATCGCACGTGCGCTGAGGATGAAAGCTTGAGTAATCTGCGCATGCTCAAAGGAAAATGTCAGTGTTTTTTGATATTTTATTACGTCAACATGAGTACAACAAGCAAAACTGACAGTGAATTTTCTCGCGTTTCCTT